ACCACCACCACCACCACCACCTCCACCCCACCACCACCCCCGTTCTGTTGATGTGTTGGGCTGAGGTAGGATCAAATGAGCACTAGGAAAGTAGGGCCTGAGCCAGGAAGGAAACCGTGTCTGTCTGTGCCTGTTCCAGTCAGCGCAGCCTCTGAGGAAGGTCAGGGAACCCGCACCAACTGACTGCAGGCTCCTGGACCAGAGATTTAGGCTGTTTCCAGACTCGGTATGGCTGATGTGAAAAAGTTGAAGAGTTTCCCAAGCCAGGTGCTGCCTGCCCCCTGGGGTGATCTTAACTGCTCTGAAGATCAAATAAGTATAGAAGCACTGAAGTAAGGAATTTGCAGTAAAAAAGAAAAATGAAAAATGGAAGTCATAAGAGAGATGAGAATTACTGGATTCAGTATGAAGAATGGTAAATGTCAAAGCATTTGATAATTTTTCTGCTAACAGACAGGTGAAGATGAAAGTTTCCATAATTCTTCTCTTTGTTTTTTTCCCTTGCTGTTGTCACAAGATGTAGGAGCATGAGAATTTTCATTTCAGTATTACATTGTAACACAAAGCAAGACAGAAATAAAGATTTCCCTTAAATGTCAGCATGAACACAATAGTAGGTTTTGTTACCTGTAGAAGATATTGAAGTACCATTCTCTAAGCTGTTTTATATAGGAAAAGCTTTAAACGCAGTCATTAAGTTATTCACTGAAAGTTCATATCCACAACATTAAACGTGCACCTGTTCTGTGTAAAGTGCTCCACTAGGTAATATTTATAAAATTACTTAGCTATTCAGTCGTGAAAATAAATCATGATCCACATACCCTAGAAGGTCCATTAAAAGTCAGCAAGATGCCCATGAAAACGTTTTGTTTGAATTTCACACACCTCAAAATGGAGAGGAGTACTAAAAGCATTTATTTTAAGTCTCTATGTGTATCCTCTTAAACTGTTAATATGTAAAAGAGAGGTTGTAACCATAAGTAGATGTTGAATATCTTTGTCCATCACCTATTTGAAGTTTGATAGTCCAAGTGGAATTTTGATTGGCCTGTAAAGTCTCTATGTGTATCCTCTTAAACTGTTAATATGTAAAAGAGAGGTTGTAACCATAAGTAGATGTTGAATATCTTTGTCCATCACCTATTTGAAGTTTGATAGTCCAAGTGGAATTTTGATTGGCCTGTAAAAAATACGAGGTATTAGCCAAATGGCTCTAAAAACAAAGAAATAGAAGTTTAATCAAACTAGTGCAATGTTTAGATTCAGTTTTCCCTTCCTTTGGATACCATATATGTCTCCAGTTTCCAGGCATACAGTTATTACTGTAAATTCTCTCTAAAGATGTACAATTTTGTTGTATAGGCCATATTTAAAATGCCTCAAGAATTTCTACTCATGTCTATATTCCTCCCTCCCACTACTTTATTTTCATGCCACGTTTACATAAGCCTTACCAATACTTTTTTTTCAGGTACCAGTATTGTGCTATATTCATAGAAAGACCTCCTCACTCATCTGTCTTTCCTGGTATTGTATCAATTATTTTCTCTCAGCAAATGGTGGTGACCTCAGAGGGGGAAGAGATCATCTCCCATCTGACTCCTTCCATCATCACCCTTCATCACAGAACCTGACACAGCTGTCTCCCACCAGCCATGCTCAGATGGAAAGGCATATACAGCCAGTTAGAAGGAATGGAAAAATTAACCCAGAGAGTGTAATACAGAGAAAGCTTTCAAATACATCCTTCAACTTTCACGTTAGTGATTCTTTTCTCTGGCAATACATGCACCGACTGCTCTGTGGGAAGCACCATGTAGCGTTTGCCCTCCAAAGCGAAGGCTCCTGAGGAAAGATGGTCTGAACCACAGATTAACAACAGCAGTCCGGGCCAACCAGTGTCACTCGTTTCCTTTCACCTTTTTGTATTCTATAAATAATGTGTATCTCTTCTAGAAAAATTAGTAAGTATAAGCAAAAGGGAAAGAAGCATATTCAGACATTCAGCAATGTGCATATTACAGGTGACACATTTCCTTCTGATGTTCTACACAGGAGTGCATAACTAACATGCACACATCCTTTTTCTGAATGAAACTGACTCAGACTTTTTTTTTTTTCCATTTAACAAAATACTAGGAGTGGCTATTTGTGCTTTTAGTATGTGTCTATTCTGTAGTGTTCCATTTTGTGATTGTACCATCATTTAAGTAGTCAGCCCGCCCTATCTTTTTTAACTTAAATAGTGAATTTTTACATCGTTTTTCATTTTCGTACAATATATGCTTTCTCATCCCAGTTATAGTCCCCACAAATTCCCACCGAGTCACCTGTGCACCATCACCATGATCCCTTGGTGGTGCTCTTCCCATCCCTGTTTTATTTAAGCCTTTCCCCCTCTCCTTCCTGCAGAATATCTCTGGTTTATAGTTGCCTGTTAATTTTGATGTTTACTTTATTATTCTCTTTTTTTTTTTCTGATTCCTTATTTGGATCCTCTACATTCCTCCTAAGAGAAAAACCATCCGGTATTTTTCTTTTTCTTTCTGGTTTATCTTTTATACATATATATGTTGTGCCAAATGTCTGTTACATTTTTGAAATCAATGCTGGAAGTGGCATTTCCTGATGATAAGTTCTACATATGTTTAAGGTTTTGACATAAGTCATTAAATTACCCTACAGAAAAGATCTGGCAGTTTTAGGCTCTCCCACCCTCCCAAATGTTTGGAGCTGCCCTGATGTGTTTACCTGAATTACCAGCAGCATTTGTGGCCAGCCTCTGGCCTTGTTCCTGGATAGCTTCGGTGATAAGTTTGAGTGGTGTCTGTGGGTGGTCTGTGGGTGGTCCTAGGAGTGGTTGTGGCAGATCCAGTAAGCCCTTGAAGTGTGTCACTTTTGTCTTTCTAGCAAACCTCATCCAGAAGCTCTACCTCAGGCTCAGCACCCAAGAACAGAGTTATGCTCAGAGCTCATTATATTCAGAAAAATAAGGAAGTAAAAATTATAAGTTTTAAAATTTTTGTGAATTTATATTTAGTGAGCTTAATGAGATATGTGACCAGACTATATCCATGGGGGGAGGGGAAGAAAATAAGTGGTGGCCCCTCCCCTCCTAGCCCTGCACCCATGTATACCTTGGGATTTCTGACCGAGCATTGTTACATTTAAGGATGGGTTGCTGAGGTGTAATATGGTAGATGACGCTTCATTCACCATACACTTACCCATATCTAGTATTCTACTCGGAGAATAAACCACACTCACTTGCAAATACCAGGTCTACCATTGCTGTATCCTTAGTAAGTTCCTTACTGAGCTTCACTTGTCTCACTCACTTGCCCCTAGTGGAAAGTAAGTGTTGAAGCTACTAAGGGCAGTGTCCAGCCCTATAGTCAACCCAGCAAACATTTGAATGGATGAATCCAGGCCCTCCAGAGCTTACTTGGGTTTTAATCGCCTTTTGATGGGTTCTCCCCAGTCATTGTATTTTCACAATCTAAAATTGTTTACTTGCAGGTTTGCCACTTACTTTCCAACTCTGAATCAGCACAATGCACAATGCTTAGCAGGAGTGGGTTGCCAGGGCTTAGCGCATTCCAGGTGTGCAGAGGTGGAATATTTATGGGTCCCACTTGTTTGCATTCTTTCTGGTCACCCAGACTTTTGGGCGTGCCCTACAGAACCCTCCTCATTTCCCTCTGTCATTATTTATGGAGCTGTGCTTGGTTCCAGCAATCCTCCGCTACCTGAAGAATGATGGGAAGATCCACTTGGTGGTTTTCAACAACCTGCAACTGGCAGATGGCAGGCGGCATAGGGTCCTCCTGCGATTGACCAATTTGCAGCGTGGAGCTGGCTCTGTAGAACTCTACCTGGACTGCACCCAAGTAGATTCCACTCACAACCTCCCCAGAGCCTTTTCTGGCCTCTCCCAGAATCCTGAATCCATTGAATTGAGGACTTTCCAGAGGAAGGCACAGGTAGGAACCCCTCACCCATCCTCTGAAGCCCAGGCCGGGAACACCAGAGCGTGCCGGGCTCACGGGTGGGCCTAACTCTGCTGCCTACTAGAATTGCCTGTGGCACTTACACAGCTACTGCTAGCAGACCCACCCTCAGACAAGCTGAATCCAAATCTGTGCTGTGATGCCTTTGAAAATACTGATTTTAATGTGAAGCTCAAATTGACAGCCTTCAAATTTACATGATATATGGCAAGTTTCTGGGTAATTATGAAATTGGGGAAGGAATAGCAAAAGTAAAAACAACTGTCTTTGAACAGTATTTTTACTCTTTTATGGTACTTTTTTTTAATGAAAATGAAGAGTGAGTGGAAGCTGCCAGGCACTAAGGACAATATTCTCACAGATTTTATCACAACATCCCTGATGAAAAGGGCCTATTGCCGACTTAGTCCCATGTATAAAAACCCTGTCACTTCTGTCTCCTGCTTATGCTGTCTTGAAGGTGTGTTTTTTTAATTGTATCACTGCACCTACTGTAAAGTTGCCACATACATTTCTCTTAAGAGTTTTGCCCTAGGAAATGCTTTGTTTTCTATAAGTAGTCTTTTTTATCCTTTTCAATAGTTTTAACAATAACCGATTATGTTTCTGAATTTTATTTTACATGAAAGTCAGTGCCAAGTGAGTAATTGTGTTTATCTGTTACAGCCTGTGATATTGTCTTCTCTCTTTCGATTCTTCATTTACATTTCTTTTTTATTACTGCATTATATGTGTTTTAGTGACAAGCTACTCTGAACCTTTGTATAAAGAGACAGAATGTCAACTATAATTTTCATTACAACTAGAAATGCTGTTTTAAATAAAAGTATAAAAACTGAATCTTATATTAGAATTTTGTGCTAGGGAAATGGTGTGTATTTTGTTTGAAAATAGTGTCTGTAGAACTCTTTAAAGAAAGTAGTAATTTTTTAAAAAAGCTAAAATTCAAGGATTTCTTCTTTTGTTTGGTTGTATAGATATTCACTGTATTCTAATCAATGTATAGAAATTCATTGTAGATTTATAGAAAAAATAACTAATAAATAAATACACTAAACTACCAACTTTCCCCAAGTAATAGAATACAGACATTGTCACTGACTGAAATGAATGTTCAGCAGCAGATAAGTCAGTCTCTAGAAGCCAGGCATCAGCCATGACAGCAACACTATACTCACTGGAATGTTCTCAAAAATTTATTCCTAAACTGTCGGCAAGGGCCAGAGTGCAGCCTGTCTGTCAGCCAGTCACACTGTGGGTGTTGGGGATACTGTGGTGGGCAAAACATTGTGGCCTGCACCCCCAGAGCTGATATTCTGAGGTTCAACACAGTAGCTATTAAATAGCACATGTTGCATATGTCTCAACTCAATTTAAAAAAGTATTCCTCTGCAAACCCTTAGAATGCTCAGTCCTTAAGGTGATAACGTTACAGTGGCAGTTTACAACCTCTGTCCTATGTAGCTATAGTAAATACTAGTAAGAGTTATAAAGGGGTGAAGAAATCAACTTTGTGACTAACAGTAATGTGAAATTATATTGCCAGCTATCTCATAATCAATAGGATATACTCTTTATTCCTTCTCATCACCCAAGGAAATCAGGCTTTGTTAAAAACAATACTGTTTAAAATTGGGATCAATATTTTATTATTATCTTAATTCCATAAACAATTCTTAAGCGTCTCCTGCCACAAAAGAATTGGTTTACTATGAGGGAAAACAGTCTTTCCTCACCTCAGGCCACCAAGTTAGATGCCAGCATTTTCCTAGGCTACTGGCTACTTCTAGGTTTGCTTCAGTCGAAAGGAATGACACTTGCCAGCTTTAGGAAAAAATGCAAACCCACAAAATTATGTAAGATGGCAGGACCCAAGTGTGCTGGGCTACTCTGTTGTGAAGACTGTGAGCATGTGAGTGCACTGGCTTTTGAGCAGTGTCAGCTATGTATGGCCTAAGTGTGGTTCTTTTCCAGGACTTCTTGGAAGAGCTGAAGCTGGTGGTGAGAGGCTCGCTGTTCCAAGTGGCCAGCCTGCAGGACTGCTTTTTGCAGCAGAGTGAGCCACTGGCCGCCACAAGCACAGGTGTGGACTCTAGGGCAGTTTGCATGCTTTCTCAGCTCGGGCACAAATCCCTGGCCTGCAAAGGGCTGTGCCCAGCACAGAAAGGTGGGCTGTCAGCAGAGCCTCCATGCAGGAAAATCTGTGGCACCAGGCTCCAATTCCAGTGCACGGGAATATCTTCACTGTGCTTTTGTTTTTCCTAAGGGATGTAAAATATTTTATGCATTTATTTTTACAACTCTAGTGATAAGCCAGTGGCATCACTAGAATTTTTCAGGTGAACTTGATGAGTGATCCCAAGTTAAATTCCTCTATCGTAGGTTTTTGAATCATCTTATGATGATTCTCTGGGAAATCATTTGTTTTTGAATCACTGTAAAAATAGCAGTCACTGACTAAATGTTCCTTACCTTTGCTATTCTTACAGGAGACTTTAATCGGCAGTTTTTGGGGCAAATGACACAACTAAACCAGCTACTGGGAGAGGTAAAGGATCTCCTGAGACAGCAGGTAACCGAGACACATCTCCAGAAAAACACCTGGCTTTTGTAAGTGCTCGTGGACTGTAGGCCAGCAGAAGCAGGGAGGCGGGCCTGGAGCCAGACCTTGGGTACCCCACTAGCCCATCACTCCAGAGCTCTTCTAGGAGGGGTGTGGAAAGGGGGGCAAGCCTGTGATGACTGCTCCTGGCCCCAAGCACATGGGCGCTGTTGAGGGCTTTGTCAGCAGTACTTGAAGAGGTGTTTATTAGACTGCTACACATGGGTTCTTTGATTCTGGGTTGCATGTCAGCTATCCCTTTTCCATCCTTTTTCTTCCCCCTTCCCATTTCTAAAGGTCAAAGAAACAACGTTTTTGCGAAACACCATAGCTGAATGCCAGGCTTGTGGTAAGTGCTTTTCGAGTAACTGGCTCATTCTGAGTTGGTCAAGCAGATGCAGCCTGACAAAGGGCCTAGGGTGAGGCTGCACCGACTGTGGTTTCTGGAGGTTTGGCACAGGGTTGCCGAGAAGGAAGTTTCATTATGTATCAAGTATGTTTTTCTGGTAGTGAATAAGCCTGTGGATTATTGGATTTTTCAGGTCCTCTCAGCTTTCAGCTTCCAACCTCCAACACACTGGTGACCCCTGCACCTCCCTCACCCCCAACACCCTCAGTGCGCCGCTGTGACTCCAACTCCTGCTTCCGTGGTGTCCGATGTACCAACACTAGAGATGGTTTCCAGTGTGGGCCCTGCCCTGAGGGCTACACAGGAAATGGGGTCACCTGTTCTGATGTTGATGAGGTAAAAGTTCAACGAGGCGGGGAGGGGCTCCCTAAATATTTGTACATTCTACAGCTTGTGGGGGAAAACCAGGAAGCTGAGTAAGAGAGTACTTGGGTGGTCCTCCTGGCTACGTGAAAGGTACTTCCTCATAAATCCGTAGAGACCCCAAGATGCCACGAGCAGCAGGAGGAAGGAACATTACACACACTTGTTTGTGACATTTCCTCTGTTTCTGCTTTCCTACTGGCCTACGTGGATAAGACACTGAGATTTGGAACTTTGTACTTTTGGGTTGATTATTTCTCTTGAGCATTCTGCTAAAATTTTGACTTCTCCATACTTGCCGGCATGGGAAGGGGATGTTCTCTGTAAGGGTGTATTTCAGTTACAACTGATTTCTTCAGACTTCCTAAAATAGAGGAACAGAGGGGAATCTCTCAGGACTGGTTGAGGAGCCCCATAATGTATGAGTCACTGAAAGTGCCCCAAGATGGGGTCAGAGAGACCTACAGTGAATCCAGGCTGTTTGGCCAGCTGGCAACACCTGTGGAAAGAACTGTTTCAAAACCATGGTTAATCCCTAGTCCAGCCCCAAGCAGTGCTCAGTAGGTAGCAAAGCTGAAGCAGAATGCGGCCTTTCCCTCCCACCTGGCCTGAGGAAGGCTGGAGGACAAATGGAGAGAGCAGGGAGCTCACACCCCCTCTTGCAGGCCCAACTGATTACCTCCCCAGGTAGTAAGCTGTTAGGATGGTTTCTAGTGATCCCTCAATTGAAGAAACATCTGCCCACGCTTCACAGAACTACATCTGGTTTTTATGTGTGAGCTGGAATTTTCCTTCTTTTGAAAGGGCAGGACATGTTCATGTTTTTTACATTAGTTGAAGTGGTTAAAAAAGAGGGGCCAGAACCAATATTCTAGACTCCAAGAGGCTTGGAACAGCCATGGGATTGATTGGGCATGAAGGCAGGCACAGACTGTGATGGATCACATCTTACTGAAGAAACAACTGGCTTGCCTTTGACTTCTCAAGGTCTTTGCATTTGAGCAGTGACTTCAAAAATCCCTTTGAACTCATCATTCAGCTCACAAGTGACCCAGAAGCATTATCCTTTTAGATTTTAAAACTGAATTTTCAAATTCTGAATTAGACTCTCAGAGACTCAGAGTGGGAGGTAGACTAGTTAACATTAAGGACCCTTTCCACTTGACTGTGACATTATTCTGTAATACACCACCGCCCAAAAAGACAGTCCCAGATTGTGTGGGTCAAGGAATTCGGTGGGTAACTACAAAATTGGAAACCTTTAAATTTGTTTTATTTTGCCACCAAAAAAGTGGTTAAGTGAACAGACAGTAGATGAATGAAAGTTTGAGATGGCTTTCTCCATATTGCTAAAAACTTTGATTTTTTGTTGTTGTTGTTGTTTGTTTTTTTTGTTTGTTTTTTTCTCTGTAGTGCAAATACCATCCCTGCTACCCAGGAGTGCGCTGCACAAACTTGGCTCCTGGCTTCAGATGTGACGCCTGCCCAATGGGCTTCACTGGCCCCACGCAACAGGGGGTTGGGATTAATTTTGCCAAATCAAACAAGCAGGTAGGCTGAAGTTCTGCTCTTTTCTATTCCTTTGCTATGTCCATTACCAGCAGAAAAGTTTTGGTTTCCACCTCTTCGGTTTATCCCTTAACCTACTTGAACAACCACTGCCATGTGGGTAGAATGCCATGTGAACAGTGGGCAGTGTGGGACCTTCAGCCCATTCTGAGTATATGCCCGTGAGGTAGAAGGTGAGTGCCGCTGAATTGGGATAATAGAGCATCACTGGAAACAGCGTGGGTCAGTCTCTCTCTACTGTAGAGTGACTTTGTCGATAGCTGTTAAACATCTTGTTCTGTAGAAAAGCTTGATTATCAGGGACACAAAGCCTTGAAAAATTAGATCACTTCTGTAGAGTCATTGTTGCCAATCAGAAGCTGTTTTAGATATGAGAAGATTTCAAGAGCAGAAATAATCCCCTGAGGAAACCCAGCTCCTCCTTATATAAGCTCTAAATTGCCATAAAGCCCTTGAGCACTTTGTGACAGTCTCCATTTATTTCCAAATGTTCGACTATGTCCTGGTCATTACTTAACTGACTGACTCTGAAATTCTTTTTGATGTTTTCAGCCCTTAAAAATGGATGGTCTATAAATATATTTTACTACCTCAGGGAAATTATTAGCTTTGAAGAAGGGCACGGGTTCATCATTTCCTAGCTGCCTATCAGAGGATTCTAGAGGGCATCATTTTTTAAGACTAGAAAAGCAAGGCAGGCCAGACACACAGGAATGACAGGAAGCCATTAGAGTAATGACCCAAAGTTTCCCTTCCTCTCCTCTAAAGACAAAATCTTCAAGACTAACCCCAGGAAAATAGACAAAATGAAATAGAAAATGCTTTATGTAAGCTAGTAAGGAATATTTCCCAGTGGGTTTCCAGCAATGTGGTAGACTGAAATAAAGTAGAAGGAAGCTACTTTGCTAAATTTCACAGCAAATGTTAGTATTTTACTGACATCAAAATAAATAAAAGGAAACATGCAAATTCTGGAAACGAGAAAACTCAAGAGCTGTTAGTGCAAACTGATGCTGCAGCTGCTTATGGGAGGTGGGAGATGGTGGAGAGTCTAGGAGCAGGGTGCCAGGGTCTTCACACCTACTGAGCACAGTAGCTGGAGCGTTAGACCGTTAGAAAGACTTGACATTCCCAAATGAAGCCAGGAACCTCGAAAGCTCCCCAGCCATTGCAAGGGGATGAGACCCAGAAATGTGGAATATCTTTCCATTCCTTAGTTTCTATTGTGGAGGTCTTTCACTTCTTGGTTAAATTTTGTTTCTGGGTATTTTATCCTTTTCAATGTAACTGTAGGTGGGAGACTGTTTTCTGTACTTCTCTCTGATATTTCATCATTGTATATGGAGGCACAACCTGTGCTTATATGTTGTTTTGAATCCTGTTTATTGTTCTAGTGATTTTTAGGTGGCCTTTAGGGATTTTCTATGTGTAAAATCATTTTTTAAGAAGGAAAAGAGGAGATGAGAGAATTTTACTAGTCCCAAAGAAGCTTGATGTCAGTTTTGGGACATGACTGACATAAATGAAATTACTCACAGCAAAAACAAAACTTGCACCAACTATTGTGCAAGCTCCAGATCTTTGTTTTACATTTGATGCAAAAACACAAGGTTAAAAAGAATAGCATAAAACCCAGTTCTGGAGCAGTAAAATCCTCAAGGCCCTGGGTAATGTCCACACCATGACACTTTGTGAAAACACTCCAAAACTCAGGGCCAGGGAAAGGCCCCCAAACAAGAATATGCTCCAATCAAAAATGACAGTTTATATGAAGAAGTTACCATGGGAAAAGCCTGAGAAATGTAAATGTAAAGTTCAAAAGGGTAAAGAGTAAAAGGAAAGAGTAGATAGTCCATAATTAAAGAATAGGGCAAGAAGAAAAAAACAAGTAGTGTAAAACATAATTAAAGGAAGCTGCTTCAATGAAAACAATCATTGACATTAACAACTCAAGATGGGCAAAACAGCTAACAGGAAATTTATAGATTGGAAGGTAGATCTCAGGAAATCATTCCAAGTACAACACAGAGAAATAAAGATGAAAAGTATGAATAAGAGACTAATAGTCAAAAAAAAAAAAAAGCTTAATGAGAAAGTCCAAATTTTGTTTAGTTTACTTCCATAAAAAGAACAGGAGTAGAAGGAAGCTGAGAATTTTCCAAAATTGAAGAAAAGTAGAAATCATCAGACGTGAAAAGTACAGTGTGACCCAAACAGGATAAAGAACCTTCCTGACTGAAAAGGGATGGAACAAATTAATTGTCTTTTCTAACAACTTTAAATACTAGATAGACAATATCACTTGAAATTGGGTTAAGTACAGGCTGGTACAAAACACAGGGAAATTGCTAAAATGACCCTCCAATAACTACTCCACCTAAATTCTGTTGTCACTACACACAGAAATATAAAAAAAGGAAAATTTGTCTGCATTTCTGTTTAAATTGTCTTGTTACACTTTTCTGTACTAGGTCTGCACTGATATTGATGAATGTCAAAATGGAGCATGTGTTCTTAATTCTATCTGCATTAACACTTTGGTAAGTAGTTTTCATGACTTGCTATTAAAGCCAGACCTATTATTAAAAACAAGTGTTTATAGACCATAACCCTCAAAACACATGTAGAATATATAGGCGTAATGTATTTGATTAGCAGAATGTGGACAAACATTTGTGCTGAAAAAGTTTGTAGCATACAGTTGTCCCTTGAACAACATGGATTTGAACTGTCCAAGACCACTTCCATGTGAATTTTTCTTGAAAACAGAGGACAGAACCTATGGTATTGAGACCGTCATATTGTAAGTTTATTTTCCTTATGATTTTCTTTTCTATTATAATATTATAATATCGTACAAGTAACATACAAAATGATTGTTTACTGTAGTTTGTCATCAGTAAGGCTTCCTGTCAGTAACAGAATATTAGTACTTAGTTTTGGCAGAAACAAACATGCAGATTTTTAACTGTGCAAGGATGTTGTTCAATGATCACCTGTAAGAGTAATTTTCTAAATAATATACCAAGCTTGTTCTTTGATAGAAGTATCAAAGCTGATAGATTAATGTTTATTGAATAAATTAATATCTTTGTATTTTCTTTTTAAAACCTGAAGAGTTTCTTAGTTTACAACAGTTTCATATTCTACAATATGCACTACTGGTGCCAACAGGATCCCCAAAGGGTATTTATTAATTTCATAAAACTTACCAAGGTAATAGATATGAAATTAAAATGCTTTTCACTTTAGAGGTCTAAAATTTAAGTATCCGGAAATAGGTTTTATTCCTGAAAGTTCCTGACAGTTGATTCCAGACTGATAAGTCTAGAAGACAGTCTGGTAGACACTCAACAAAATAACTGCTGCCTCCGCAGATAATCATTTCTATCACTGTATCACTGGGAAAATTATTACATTCCCAGTTTTCTTGTATGTAAAAAACATTAATATCGAATTACTTGTTTGAATGTTCACAATAGCCTTCTTACTAGATACTGTTATTATCCCCATTTTACATGTTAGCAAACTGAGGCACAAAAGAGTTAAGCAGTGAAACTAAGGTCACACATCTTATAACACGTCCAGGCTGGCAGCAGAGTCTGCTCGTACCCACACTGTATTGCTGCCCAGGAACAGAGATCTGCTGTTTCATAGCTCTTTACCAGGGCAATGCTAGTCTGCAGAAATAGATAGGGGAGACATTGACATAAAAGTAATTACTAAAGCCACCAGGGAGAGAAACGTAGGTAGTGGACCTGTCTAGAAAATAAAAATGAAGAGAACCCAAAAAATGAAGGAACAGTCAAAGGAAAAATGAACAGAAGCCAAGAAAGAACTGACAAAATGGAGCAGTCCAAAAACAGAAAGATCAAAAATTATCATTGAAAGACATACTTTGAACTTGGCAATTAACAGAGTGTAAGTGACTAAGATCATTGAGTTGCATACTTTATGTGGTTGTCTTGCATGAAATACAAATTTTATCTTAATAAAGTTGTTAAAGAAAAAGTCATGCCTAGCTCTAGAAGCCATTACACTAAAATTGACAGGTCATTTGCCTGGTTTCTTCCATAGCAGCCTCTCTCATCAACAATTCTCAGGCCTATTCTGTGTGCCTATTCCTTTGTTGCTCAATTGCTTAAAAAAAAAAAATAAGATTTATTTATTTATGCACACAGAACTGGAGTACAGGCCAGAGCTACAGGGTGATGAGAGGATTCACCAGAGACAGAGTAGGAAGCAGAACAGGTCAACTGAAGAAGTACACTGCTGAGGGGAGCAGCAGGTGGGTCAGGAGAGGTCTGCAGTGCCATGTGGGTCCCCTGGGGGCTGGGGATTGAACTCGCATGAGAGCATCTGTGGCTGGCTTGCAGGGCTGCACTTTAACCCATTGTACCACCAGGGAGGGCCTAATTTACTTCCTAATCAAACCATCTCCCTTGTCCTTAGATAAACCCTCTCACTTCCCTTCTCAGAAACTGTAGCCCTTTCCCCCACTGCCTTTCACAGAGGAGGTGGCAAGTCAAAGTGATGATTCACCATCTAGTGTCACTCTGCCTTTACTTCTAATCCTTTGTGTCTATTTATCCTGCCATAGTTTCCGATCTGGTGGTGTGTTCACCAGTTGTCTTACCAGACATGCATATAGGCAGAGAGGCAGGCCTGGGTCTCAGTTAATCCTGGCATCTTATACATAGAAGCACAATTGTAATGCAAAAAAAGACACATGGGTTCAATGAAATATAATTGAAAGCCCAGAAATACATGTATGTGGCTCCAGGACTGTACAGTGGGGAAAGGAGAGTCACAGATGGAGCTGAGTGGTCACATGTTTAAAAGGATGATGTTGGATCTCTTGCTAAATCCATTCACAAGAATAAACTCTAGATGGAATAAAGATAGAAGACCTGCAACAATAAAATAAGGGAAATAAGAGAGTAGTAATGATAGTGTTTTTATAAGATCAATGATAAAAGAAGTTTTTGGAAACTTGATCCCTATACCAAAGGAAATAAAAATATAAACAATTATGACTACCTCAAATTAAAAACTTTACACAGAGAAAAAATAGAAGTAGATTCAAGGCATCCTACTGAATGGGAGAAAATATTTACACATTAATGTAAATGACAAAAGGTTAATATTCAAGATACAAAAAGGCTTAGAAAAGCAGCCCAATCAATAGCAGATCTGAACAGACAACTTATCAGGAAGTATTTGTAAGAGGTCAATAGATATATTGAAAATGTTCATCATTGCTTTTAATAAGGGAGAAGCAAGTGAAAACCGTAATGAGTGGCACATACTATTATGTAACCCCAAGTGCTAGAGAGCTACAGAGAAAGAGGACCCTATTAAGCTGTTGGTGGGATGTAAACTTGTGAAGCCACACGTTTTGTAAAATTATCTGAGTTTACCTTAAAAAAGTAAAAATATAAATACCATGTCATCCAGCAACCTTATTCCAAAGAATATAAAACCATCATTTAAAAAAAATCTTAAAAAAAAAAAAGACCCTCGGACCCTCCCTGGTGGTGCACAGCACTAAGCACTTAAGCACAGCACTAAGAAGCTACCACAGCTACTGCAACGCGAGTTTGATCCCCTGCCAGGGAGCTGACCCACATGGCACAGCAGACCTCTCCCGTCTCACACGCTGCTCCCCTCAGCAGTGTTATTTTGTTGATCTGCCTGCCCTGCTCCCCACTCTGTCTCTGGTAAATTCTCTCACCCCCCACACCTCTGGCCTGCACCCCAACTCTTGTATGCATAATTAAATTTTAAAAAAAAAAAGCTAGGCTAGACCCTCTACGGAATTTATTGAAGCCCTTCTTTTTAAAGATTTATTTATTTGTGCATACAGAACCTGAGGTATAGGCCAGAGACTCGGGCGGCGAGAGGTTTCACCAGACAGAGTGGGGAGCAGAACAGGCAGATCTACAAAGTACACTGCTAAGGGGAGCAGCGGGCGGGTCAGGAGAGGTCTGCCAGGCCATGTGGTCACCTCCGGGGCAGGCGGGAATTGAACTCATGCGGAAGTGGCTTTAGCTTCTTAGTGCTGTGCTTTAACCCGCCATTGCAGCCCTCCTTATGATAGCTAGGACATGAAAGCAGTCTAAGTACCCACTGATAGAGAATTGGGTCAAGTTATGTTCCACACACAAGAACACTGTTTTGCAGGAAGGACAGATGAAACATTGACACAGCAGTGGAAGGAGTTGGTGGTAATTATGTATAATAAAGCAAGTCAAAATGACAAAGACAAATACCTGGTATTTACATTATAGACAATTTAACAAAGCAGAGTACTTAGGGAAAAAAAAAAACCAGCAGAGTCACTTTGGAGTGGGGGGAGGAAGTGCACTGGACTATGGTGATGGGAAGCCCATGGAGATTGCAACTGAGATGGAAAAAGACACAAAATGCTGTAAAAAATAAACTATTTAAAAAACAGCAGCCATCGATAAGTGAAATGTATCTGAAGTCAAAATGGAGAAAAGATCAAAGGGAACTAAGGGTCAGGAGTGAGGGGGAAAATAGAGGTAAAAATACAAAATACACATCATTTTCCCCCCAAAAATGCAGAAAAAGTCACACAGTTCTGAATCCATGGCCAATTGTCTTGTCTTTGCTCCCTGCAGGGATCTTACCGCTGCGGGCCTTGTAAACCAGGGTACACCGGTGACCAGACCAGGGGATGCAAAAGTGAGAGAAGCTGCAGAAATCCAGAACTGAATCCTTGCAGTGTGCATGCACAGTGCATTGAAGAGAGGCATGGAGATGTGACCTGTGTGGTATGTCCTTTTTTTTTTTTTTTAAGATTTATTTATTTATTTATTTGTACAGAACTGGGTACAGGCCAGAGATGCGGAAGGTGAGAGGATTCAGAAACAGAGCAGAACAGGCAGATCGACGAAGTACACTGCTGAGGGGAGCAGTGGGCGGGTCAGGAGAGGTCTGCCACGCCATGTGGTCACCTCCAGGGCGGGCGGGAATCGAACTCATGAGGAAGCGGCCTTAGTGCTGTGCTTCAACCTGCTGCGCCACCAGGGAGGGCCAAATCAAAAGTTAATTAAAAGAAAAATTCAGCCCTCCCCAGCAACACAGATAGAGCCTGCCATGGTCCTAATGAAGGAACTTGGTGGATTGGGGAGCAACCAGCAATTTCTCTAATTCCTGTTGGTTGGGCATGTTTATTACTATCAAGGAGCAAGTGTATCTGCGTCTAACTTCTCATTTTCAGTGAACAAATTGATGACTTCCCTGGGATGGTGGGTGATTGGGTTCTTAATATGTTTTTGAATTTGCAATAAGGCACAATGACAGATGGTAAAGGATTAATACTCTTGGTATGACTACTAAGATAATTTCATCTGCCAGAAAAAATGGCTCATTAAAAATGTATTTGTTCCTAGAGGAAATTTTTTCTACATTAAAATGAGTCAAGGACCATACCACATGGTCGAGCTTTCCAGGCCTTCTGCAGGCCCTTAGGCAGTTGCTCACAAATAGGGGCAGTACAGGAGGTGCCTTGGGAGTCCTTCCCTTTAAATCTCTGGGGACAGAAGGACAGTGTGGATGATCCAGAACAGGCGGCCACAGCTATGAAGTCACTGGTCTTAAGTCACTTTATTTTGATTAGCAAAAGCCAGGAAAAATTTTTTTTAAGATTTATTTATTTGTGCATACAGAACTGGGGTACAGGCCAGAGGTGCTGGGGGTAGTGAGAGGATTCACGAGACAGAGTGGGGAGCAGAACAGGCTGTATGATGAAGTACACTGCTGAGGGGAGCAGCGGGCGGGTCAGGAGAGGTATCCCAGCCATCTGGATCACCTCCCGGACAGGGATTGAATTTGTGCTGAAGTGGCTTTAGCTTCTCAGTGCTGTGCTTTAACCCACTGTGCCACCAGGGAGGGCCAAAGCCAGGAAATTTTAACATTCACACCTATCATGTTTCCATTCACTTGGCCATGGCTCGCTCTCTCAGCTGTCTTCTGTGCCCCTTTTATGTCCTGTCATAGGCCAGCTTTTCCTCCCCCTGCTTTTCTGATACCCTGTCGATGTGCGGGTCCCTTTCTTCCTTGTCTCTTCTGCTGTTCTGCCTGTTTTTCCTCTAGGGTCCATCCTGCTCTTGGGCTGAGCTTCCAGGCTCTACCTCACACCCTGGCAATGGCTTTTGGAAGGATTTCCTTTCTCTCCAGTTTGTCAGTGATCCTTTAACGAAGCCAGCTAGGATATGGAGCATGGGGATGAACTCAAAAGTGCATGTTCATCATATGTAAATGTGAAAGACATTGGACTGTGATAAACTTGAAGTCAAGTCCTATCTCTGACCTTGAACAAGAGATATAACCAGTCTGAACCCAGCTGAATATTCTGTAAAATGGGATGATGATGTGATTACCTGACAGGATCATTGTGAAGATTGGAGAAAACAGTTGTTGAGAATCTGGTGTAGAAGAACTCTTGCTTTTTAATGTATATTCTGCTGATTGAGAAGGCTTGCTCTTATTGGCTAGTGGTGGCAGGATACTTGAGTAGGTTTCTTAGGGCAACGGAGACAGAGCCCAGCGATGTGCCTGTGTGAGTTTTCTTCTGTCAATAGAAAAGGGTATGGACAGAGAGAAAACATGTTGGCTCTTTTCTTTGGTGGAAATTGATGAACAAGGCTGATTCAGAGATAGGACTGTGTTTCAATAATAAGAATAGTGCCACAGAAGCCATTTATGTGCTCATTTTTACTATGAGAAGAAATTAGAGAATCAAATGGAAATCATTTTGACAAGAACTCAATCATAAATACCTTTGAAACAGGAATTCTATATAAGAAATTCAGTGCATGATCAGAAATTAAAATGTACCTGAGTTGTTTGTTGCACCATTATTTGCAATAAGATCCTAAAAACAGTAGAAGCTGGTTGAGTTAATTGAGGCCCGCGTGTACTAATGCAGCAGTAGCTGTGCCCATTAAAAGAGATGACCTGAATCTACATGGGAAGGGCAGCAAAGACATATTACCTAAATCCAGGGGCAAAACAGATGTGTGCTGCCAGTTGTGCTAAAGGACAAAACAAGAGAAAAAATGATAGTGGGTTTGCTTGCCTGTGCGTAGCTCCCTTTCTGAATTATACATGAGAAAGGATTGCCTTGGTTACCTGAGGAACTGGAAGGAGTTGTTACTCTGCCTCCATTGGTACCGTTGGAATTTGGAACCAATAGACTATTCAAAAAACAGTTGTTTAAAATCCTGCCCAGCAATGCAAGGAGCTGTAGGCCCAGTCCCAGCAAACTCAGCTTCCCAGACCTCTGACAGGCTTTCCCTCCACAGTGTGGCGTTGGCTGGGCTGGTGATGGCTATGTCTGCGGAAAGGACATAGATATTGACAGTTACCCTGACGAAGAACTGCCATGCTCCGCCAAGAACTGCAAGAAGGTAAGAATATCAAGCAGGAAAAGGTGTGTGTGTGCGTGTGCACATGCGTGTGAGCGAGATGGACTGGCTTCCAAAGCCACACCTAATGCGGATGCTGTATTCTGCAGATTCCATTTAAAATGGTTTCTAAAGTAGGAAAGTATCAACAATAAAGCCAGGCAGTCACAGTCAATCTTGGGTCAGAAATAGTTTTTGACTTAAGACAGATACTAGGTAGGAGGCCAGGGAAATAGAGGTTGCAAAAAGTATACAAGCTGCCAGATGCGTAAGATCTTTCAACTGTAAGGTGAGTATATACATGTTGTAACATGTGAGTATAACTGATAGCACTTAATTGAAATGTGCAAGATAAAAGGTTATGCTCATCAAAAAGGGAAGATGGGGGAAATGTGTGGGATGATCAGTACATTAATTACTGTGATAGAGGATATCTTCACAGCACACGAATGTATGTGTTTATTAGTACTATACACATACCTCACATCTTTTAAATATTTTACCTGTCAATAACGTTAATAAGACAGATGTAGATGTCCCTCTGAGCTGTGTGTCCCCCTAAGGACAACTGCAAATATGTGCCCAATTCTGGCCAAGAAGATGCAGACAGAGATGGCATTGGGGACGCTTGTGACGAGGACGCCGATGGAGATGGGATCCTGAATGAGCAGGTACCTGCTTGGAAGGGATGGCCTGTGGATTCCTCACGCCAGGGATGGGGGAAGGCAGCTTGTGAAGTCAGCTGTTTGTATTTAATCTTTCCAAATGTTCGTTTCCATGCTTGTGTTCATTGCACTACAACTTCTATTCTAAATCTGTTGTTTAAAATATCAAACCAGCAACTTGAGCCGCCTGAGCTCTGACAACTCTGGACAGTGGGGCTGGACCAGGCACACACAGGAGTCAGGTAAAAGACAGAGTAAATGTTTGGCCTTCTGATCCTTTAGGATAATTGTGTCCTGACTCACAATGTGGACCAAAGGAACAGTGACAAGGACCTCTTTGGGGATGCCTGTGATAACTGCCGGTCCGTCCTGAATAATGACCAGAGAGACACTGATGGCGATGGAAGAGGCGATGCCTGCGATGACGACATGGATGGAGATGGTGACTTTCTTGCTTTCTCTTTTCTTTGGGGTCCATTTTCCCTTGGCCTCTGTTCTCTCTAAAGAGTGGGAATAGAAGTACTGACTGGGAGCACCTTCCTGTTCGAGGTGGTTTCACGTGACCTCTGTCTGGGGGCCTCCAGGTTGGCACACTTGTAACAGCAGGAGACACTGCAGCCCATTGCTAATGTTTAATAACTTGGGTGTTTCTGAAACTCTACATCATCATCAGAAGCGGGAGCAGTGTTTTGTCAGGGCTGTGTCTTTGTATAGGAATCTGTCTTCTAGATTATAACTTTCCCCCCATCCTTTTCACCTGTGAGACCTGAAAATGGAGAATTGAACAAGAAGGCCTTGAGCTAGGTCACAGGCTACAGCTTCAGGTTAGATGCCTCCTGTGGAGAAGCAGGTATTTCCCAAGAGACACAGATATCCCATCTGTTCTCAGAAGGGCTCTGAGACGTACTGCTCCTATAGGCACCGCAGGGGCTTCATAGTGTGGCCTGTGTGACTGTCACCCCCTGGGGTAAAACTCCTGAACTCAGGAGCCTCACCTGATGTGTGGGAGGATATGTGTTCCTGTAAAGCTTCACTAACCTATAGGCAAGTATCATCAGTGTAGGCCGGATCTGAGAGCTTCTGGAAACCATCACATCACAGGGTCTTGAAGGAAATTCATTTCATAAATGTCCCCCCAACAGTGTCCTGAGCTTGCTAAAACACAGCCTTCTTTTCTGTGTGCCTAACTGATGACCTGGATCTGTGCTGCTCTGGTGACCAGCTCAACAAAATAATGCCCTGAGCTGTAGCATTTGCCCATTACTGTGATGCAAACACCACTTCTACCTCCATGAATTTGAGCTATATAAGTAGATTATAACTTTTGAACATGAAGCTGGGAAGAGAAGGGTGCGATGACTTGGCTCCAGCACACCTGGCTCTGCCTGAGTTCTGGGTCCCCAACACAGAGCGCACCAGAGGGTGTTCACAAACCCCTCATCTGCTTTTACAGCCCTTGACATCTTAGAACAGTGCTTCAGCTTACTGCACATGTTCAGGCCTCCAGAATCTGTCCTTTGAGGTCACTCAGATAACTCCTGGACAAGACACAACTCTAAGCTGTGCTAGAAGGTGGTCTCCACGTGCCCACCTGGAGGTGTCATCTCTGTGGAACCTCAAGGTTGATATTAGAGACCTATCTGTAGTGTTCGCCTAACTCAAGGAAGCTTTCCTTTCTCACAGGAATAAAAAACATTCTGGACAACTGCCAAAGAGTTCCTAACCGTGACCAATGGGACAGGGATGGTGATGGGGTAGGGGACGCCTGTGACAGCTGCCCCGATGTCAGCAACCCTAACCAGGTTAGTGGGGAATGCGGGCTTCCGACTCCCAGCTGAACACTCCTGTGCCAAGGCTCATTTAAACCCACATCTAAAAAGCACCACAGAACCCACAGGCCCATTCTTTGCAACATGTCACCATATTCCTTCAGAGCAGAGGTAGTGAAAGTGGTACATACTTGGGCCTGGAAAGTACAAGGATGTTACGGGAGTTCTGAGGCCTGCGATGCCATTAGTGATGCGAGCTAAATGACCCTGAAACTTCAGTTCATTCTTCTGAAAGGAAAATGTAACATGCAGATTCACCACCAGGAGCCTCGGGTCTCTTAAGCCTTCAGGCCCCTACACACGCTACGTGTGAACATTCTGACTAAGTTCAGCCAGCGAGGCATCGACTTTCCCATCTCACTCCCCCTTTAGATCTGGATAATTGTGTGTGATGTGTCGTGGATTTTCAAAGCCCTGAAAGAAGGGAGTCATTTTGCCCCCGTGACTCGCTCCCTCCCGGTGCCATTCCAAAGTGCAGACGTGAGCAGGACAGGAGCCTCTCCCAAGCCAGGGCAGTGGCTGGCTGCCTTTCTCGTCTCCACCTGCCGCTTGCTGCCCCAGCGCCCTCTTCCAGTCAGCTCATCTGGTGTGTAGGCAGCCCAGCCATGTAGCTTGATATTTTGGAAAGCTTTTTTGAAGATTCAGCATTGTGCCTACACCAATATGGTGTTGTCCTTTTGCAGTTTTACACCAACCCAATTCCAGAGAAATAATTCCTGAGATCAGTGATGATGGGCCAGGTCTGCCTTCTCTGGAACATTCTGTGCATACAGACCCAGAGATAAATAACAGCACATTCTGTTCTCTTTGCAGTCTGATGTGGACAACGATCTGGTTGGGGACTCCTGTGACACCAATCAGGACAGGTATGGCACATTTGCTGGCTGCATGGAACTGGGTGGGAAAATCTGGAGAGCTTTATCTTCCAGACCTTCTTGCTGCTGCCATGCTTTGGGATCACTCTAGATAGACTGAGCCCTTCCTCTGCTCAGTGATGGGGGTGTGTGTAGAGGGCTGACAGTGTCAGGAGGAGCCTCTTGGCCACAAGCAGTGAGATGCTGTCATAAGAGAGGTAGCGTGCTTCCCCCTGGGCTCTGGAGTGACACAGTTCCACTTACAACCTGGCTAACCTTTGGCAAGTCAGCTACTCTCTGTGCCTCAGTTTCTGCATCAGTAAAATGGAGATGATGGTAGCCTTTGAAGATTGAGTTAAATTTATGGAAAGTGCATATTACAGTTTGCTTCATAGATGGCACTTAACAGATATTAGCCTTTATGCTATTCTTTCAGCTTGGGAACTTTTCATCATCCTACCAAAATAGAAAGCTGTCAGTTTACAGAGAGATGACTATTGTTTCATTGCTCTGGAAATTTTCCGTTCAGTTTTCCTTGTTGAGTGGAATTGCTCTATGCCAGTGAATTCTGTCAGCCCCCCAGCCCCACGCAGGTGGAGTCCCACATGACAGCCCAGTTTGGGGCACCCTGCAAGAAGAGAGTGCAGCCTGACTCTGCTTGGTGTGAAATCGGCCCAGCCCTTTACCAGCATGTGGCCCAGGCATGACCTTAGACCCCTGGCTGGCTCAGATGGGGCATCACGGGAGTGCAGACACTTGTGACTGCCGTAGGGACATGGCCATCCAAGGGGCTTAGCCCTTTCGTCTCGGTCAGGAATCCTTAGAGGCAGCAGTGCAAGGAAGCAGGCGAATGGCACAGAGGGAGATTGTTAGTGTCCAAGCACCAGGAGAGGCAAGGGGTGACAACCTGACACGGGCTGGCCCTGTTTTGATGGCGCTCGATAACCGCCCTAAGTTACAACGGCCACGGTGTGCCAGCCGCAGGTGCTCTGCCTTCTGGTTATCATCTACAGGATGTCCAAATAGCTTTTCCCACCAGCCTCTAGATTTTTACCTATAATCATCCTGCTCCATTGCGATGCCCATAGAGAGGAAGAACTGCTTGTTTTTGCTTAAAAATGTTTAAGGCTAGAAAGAATGGCTTCTAATGGAATGGCTCGGTCTTATGATTAGAAAAGCCTCTTGGCTGCATTCTGGGGGTGTTCCAAGGCTTGAGACAGGTCAGATCACTTTCTCTAGGCTGCTCCTCCCCCTGCATGCACCTGGAAGTGTGACCTGCAGGTGTGGACAGGTTCCTGGCCTCCCTTCCCTGGGAGCAGGTGAAAGGAGTGTCTTGCTCTGGCCCTAGTAGCCCTCGGAGGTACCCATCAACCCAGGGAAACCCTGGGGTGACAAGCAGGCTCATCACCAGGTAGGCAGAGAACTGAGAAGTGCAAGACCAGGCAGAGCCAGCCCGCGCACTGGCCTCATGTTCTCACCACCACTCTCGCAGGGCGTTCATGTCTGTTCCTTCTCAGACCTTCTGGCCAAGGGCTATGAAGAATCTCAGAAAGAAAACACTGAAGAGCTTCTTTCAAGCCAGGCATTTCCCAAGTGCTTTTCATATATTCAAACTTTAGTTTAATATGCAAGCCTCTGAGCCAGGATCTGTTACATCCCCATCTTATAGATGGAGGTGCTGAGCCACCCAGGGGTCTAAGGTCATGCCTGGGCCACATGCTGGTGAAGGGCTGGGCCGATTTCACACCAAGCAGAGTGGGGCTGCACTCTCTCCTTCTGTAATCTGACGCAGGGTGCCCCAGACTGATATGAGCATCTGGTCACAAAAGCATAAATCACCCTTACCTTCTTGAGGAAATGATCTGCTCTTAGCAGTTTGAGGAAGTGGGGAATGTTTTCTAAGGCCCTAGAGCAGCTTCAGCTAAGGACAGTAGGTTTGATTAAAGACCAAGCCTGGCGGAAACCCAGACCCAGACATTGCCCCTAGACTCTGCCTCCTCTGCTGAAATGTGACACAATCACCCCCTGCCTTGCCCCCACAGTGATGGAGACGGGCACCAGGACAGCACAGACAACTGCCCCAACGTTATTAACAGCGCCCAGCTGGACACTGATAAGGATGGAATCGGTGACGAGTGTGATGACGACGATGACAATGATGGCATCCCAGACCTGCTGCCCCCTGGACCGGACAACTGCCGGCTAGTCCCCAACCCAGGCCAGGAGGATAGCAACGGTAACACGGCTTCGCCCTCACTGCACATGGCCCCAGGGCGCCCTTCAAGCACACACATGGGCAAGGCACTCACCCCGCCCAGGTGGCCACTCTGAGGCGCTGCAGCGGGCAGGCAGGAGGTTCCGGGAAGAGTGCCGTGCAGCCCTAGGAGAGCTCACGCAGGGCCGGGAGAGGCCCTGCCCTCTTGCTTGTTCACTCAGTAGAGTGGCACAGCAGCAGGTGGCTTAGGGGAATTCACAGGCCAAGCCTCCATGGGAGGGAGAGCTCGCAGTCAGGCAGAGGGCCAGTGAGTGGCATGTACCCACAGCTGCCCACACTCGGGTCTTTCAATGATCCATCATGTCAGCTGATCAGAAAACACTTGAAGGCCAGAGTCAGCCTAGGATCATTAGAAATGATGGTCTCAGATACTCTGATAACAATTTCCCTAACATAAGGTCTGCCACTTTGTAAACCCCACTGTCTGGGATCGAAAGAATTTCTTGGACACAGTGCAGGTGTTTAAACTGACTGACCTTACAAGAAGCTGGCTGCTGTGCAGGCCTGAACCAGATGCGGGCAGGTAGACACGACTGATGCCAGGCGCCTCTCCCAATGCCGGGGGAAGCCTGTAGGCCTGCAGGTGGAGCTTAGACTCTGTCCTAGCTGCTTCCCAGCCTCCTTCCTCTGTGTCTGAGCAGGGCAGGTGTAGCCTCATCAAGCCCCTTCTCCCCGCCAGGTGATGGAGTGGGCGACATCTGTGAGACGGACTTTGACCAGGACCACGTCATCGATCGGATCGACGTCTGCCCAGAGAACGCGGAGGTCACCCTCACGGACTTCAGGGCCTACCAGACTGTGGTCCTTGACCCTGAAGGGGATGCCCAGATTGACCCCAACTGGGTGGTCCTAAATCAAGTAAGTGTCACACCCCTGCCGGCAACACATGGTGTCCTGCCCCACGGCAGGCCATGTTACAGGGGAGTGGCCAGGTCTTACAAGGCTTGTCAGCAGGCTGATGCCTCCAGCAGGGGCACAGGGGGGTCGGGCAGTCATCACACTAGAAGTAGGCTTTTCAAGGAAGGGTTTATTGAGCCAGCAGAAGTAACACCAGCAGTTATTCCACCTCGCAGGGCGTCCCCGGTGGCTCAGGGGTTGAAGTCTCAGTGCTGTCCAGCTCTCACCAGCCGGTGCAGCACACCTGTTTCACCCACTGCTTCCCACTCTCTGGTGAATCCTTGCACACTCCCCACACCTCTGCCCTACACCCCAGTTCTGTGTGCCTAAAAAATAAGTTATTTCTATGCAGCTTTGAGTAATTTATTTTTAACAAAGGAAGCCAGTCCCCCTCACTCACCTGTGGTTCCCAAGGTCCTGGTTTCTTAAGAACACCCTTAAATCTCTCTGCAGGGCATGGAGATTGTGCAGACCATGAACAGCGATCCTGGCCTGGCAGTGGGTATGTCCAGAGCATCCAGTGCCACTCACGTAGATTCACTCTTTCCAGGGATTCTTGTGGCTTATATTTCTCTGATCTTTACAGGATACACAGCTTTCAACGGAGTTGACTTCGAAGGGACTTTCCACGTAAATACTCAAACAGATGATGACTATGCTGGCTTCATCTTTGGTTACCAAGATAGCTCCAGCTTCTATGTGGTCATGTGGAAGCAGACAGAGCAGACATACTGGCAAGCCACCCCCTTCCGAGCTGTTGCAGAGCCTGGCATTCAGCTTAAGGTAGGGTGCTTAGAAGTCACCCATTTCTCCCCCCCCCCCCCATCTTCCATGCCTGTCACCTTTTCAATTCATGTCCTCCCACATGGCATTTAACTCATCTCAGAAGTGAATGCATGTGTGCTAGTGTTCAAATTAGGGCCTTGCCTTCATGTTGAGGACCTACATTCTCACCTCTGGGTGACTAATGTTGAGAATTCCGGCTGGAGTAGCGTCCCGATGTTAAAGGTTTGGGGGTACAGTCACATGTACATGCTACTGGATACTGACTAGTTTGTTTCCTCGGGGAAGCCCTTCAGTCTAAAATTAGCTCCACTGTCACCCCGGCTGGGAGCTCTGGGTTTACAGAATGCAAAAACATGGAGGACACACCACAGTAGAAACAGCATTGGAGTGGTGAGAGCAACACCCCTTGGGATCTGGGACAGGTGGTCTGTGTGTTCTACTGTAAAATCCTGCTCATCTCTTATCTAGGCTGTCAAGTCCAAGACAGGGCCTGGGGAGCATCTCCGCAACTCCCTGTGGCACACAGGCGACACCAGTGACCAGGTCAGGCTGCTGTGGAAGGACTCCAGGAATGTGGGCTGGAAGGACAAGGTGTCCTACCGCTGGTTCCTGCAGCACAGGCCCCAGGTGGGCTACATCAGGTAGGCCCTTCTCCTCACCTTGCACTTGAAGCAAAGCACCACTCCACTCGGCCTCACAGAGCCTGCTCTGCCCTGAGCAGGGAGGGTTGCCAGGCCCTCCTGTCAGGTTACATACAGCTCCTAGAAAAAAATGAGGACACAGCCTGACTGTATAGAGTATTAGGGCCAGGCTGGTACAGAAGCACCTCCTATGGGCAAAGAGAGTCTTGGGTGAGCACCCTTTCCACCCCAGTCACCTCCTTGTGATCGCTTCAGATATTTTGCATTGCCTTGCTGAGACTCCCTTATAACCTTGTCTTCCCTTCTGGATTGTCAACTCCATGCGGGAGGTCACTATGCTAGATTTCATCTTGTCTCCTCCTGACTCTACCACGTGCACTGGAACAAATCTCTGTATTTCCCTACTAAACTGAGGAGTTATGCTGGCATGTGGTTACATCTTGCAAATTTAGACGGTGTACTTACTTGCAGATCAAACCAAAGCCAGCTTGTGTAGTGCTTCTAGAAAAGGATACCAGTTGCATTCTCCTCACCAGGGCAGGAGAACAGCCTGTAGAGGAAAAAAATCTTGAGGGTTAATTCATCTTCTGCTCTCTGAAACATTACGTTAAAAGTACTATAGGTCTCAGCCTAAGATGCAAATGTTTCTGGCCCCATTAAGTCCAGTGCCCCTTTCCATAATATTTTGAAATCTCTTCTGTCCCCAAATCAGGAAATCTAACCTACACATAATCATGTAAACTCAGTCTGACCCCTAACAAGAGAAATAATTTTAAAATCATGTAAATGCCTGGACAAATCACAACAAAACAGACTGAAATAGACACTTGCCCCTTTACCTACAATCACTGGGAATGTGATATTCTAATACGGACTGTGTTGGTGACTTAAGTACTATGGTGGTGTTGCTAGTGTGATATGAATTTATGATAAAACCGTTGTTAATTTTCCAACACGAGGAAATCAAAGTTTCTCATTTTAATATAAACTTATTTTTCCAACAGTACTCAAAATGCTTGATGTTCACAATTAGAAGGGAGTTAGATTCTAAGCCTTGATAGTTAAACAGCTCTTTCACTTACCCCAGTGTCTAGAGGAACATTCCAAAAATTATGGGCTGCAGGATAGGCTTCTGCCACTACATGCCACAGTGACAGCCAAAAGTGCCCTCTGTTGGCATAAAGGGTTAAAGCACAGCAGTATGAGCCTGATCCCCAGCCAAGGTGGTGACACGTGGTACAGGAGACCTCGCCTGCTCCCCTCAGCAGGGTATTTCAGTCAATCTTCCTGTGTTCTGTTCCTCACTCTGTCTCTAGTGAATCCTCTCACCACCACCCCCATACCTTTGGGATGTACCACAGTTCTTATCTGAAAGTGCTCTCACACATTTTTAAATTTTTTCTCAGAGTGCTGCCACTCTGATGAGTATCATAGCTCAGATTCCACCAAATGTTGTCAATTAGACTTAAGGAAGAACAGTAGTGCTTAAGCACAATGTATAGATACCTTCACAGGATGATGAAATCACAGCTTTTTGGTTATGTGTCAGGATGTGATGTCTCTAGCTCATCAGCAAGAATCTGCCCTCAGGGGCAGCAGCTAGCCGACACTCTGATACTCCCTGCTTCAGACCCAGTCACCAAGAGCCATGTGTATAAAAGGTGAGACCTTTGGGTCTCCCAGTAGGAAATTTACCTTGGTTTGGATTTCATGGAGACCCACTCCAGTTCTCCTGTCTGCAGGGTGCGATTTTATGAAGGTTCTGAGTTGGTGGCCGACTCCGGAGTCACCATAGACACCACCATGCGTGGAGGCCGGCTTGGCGTTTTCTGCTTCTCCCAGGAAAACATCATCTGGTCCAACCTCAAGTATCGCTGCAATGGTAATAACATGCATGCTTGTTAACTGTGCATGATTACCACCAGGATTAATCAGATAATGCACCTTGTTTTTATAGCATCTTTTCCTCCCAGAAACTTAAAGCGCCTGTCATATATTGATTGCAACCTGATGTTCCCTGTGAAATGGTAAAATAAATGGCAAGTTGATAGATGAGCAAATTGAGATCCATAGATTTAAACTGTTTGGCTTAGGGTTTGGGGCTTAGAGAAATGCAGTCAGGTTGAATGTATAGGCAGCCTTTATTTTCACAGGGCTCAAACATAATCACAGACTCAGAACCCACTCTGCCTGCTAATTTTCTCTAGGCCTGTGAATGAGCACTCCTGGGCTTTAAGCCAACAGTTTGCAAAGCTGCCTGCAGTAGAAAATGGCTGCTGGGCCTGCTGGTGCCTGTCAGCAGGCTGACAGTGACCCCTACAGGATGCATGCACACAACATAGAAACCCCAGTTCCCGGAGGAAGCTGGCTTACTCACCCCTATGCCTGTTCTTGCTTGCAGATACCATCCCAGAGGACTTCCAGGAGTTTCAGACCCAGCATTTCGATCGCCTGGATAATTAAGGAAACAGTCCCACAATTGCTTGTCCACACACTAAAGCTATATATTTTTTAACTTCATACAACTTTCTTTATACACCCTGTGGCTTTCTTTTACCAACTTTTTTAATATGATTGTGGCAATAAAGAAATAATTTCTAAAAACCATGTCGCTCAGGCATACGTACTCGAGTTCATCCTTCAGTGGCAATTCCATTGTTCTCCAAAGTATCCAGGTCGAACTTGCAGGGGGATCTTTTTCTTCCTCAGGCCAGATCAGCCAGTGAGATGGAATGTGCGTGAGACTTAGGAGGCCCAAGGAGTCATCTTCGGTGCCTCCATAGTCTTGTGCTCACCTCAGTGACTGTGCTCAGGCCTCCTGCCCTATAAAGACTCTTCCTAGCCAGTCTCCATAGATGTGTCCCCTTCTTTCAAATGCCCTCACCTCACCCACCCCACACACAACTATTGTTCCTTAATAAAATTGTAGTGATTTATATATTTGGCTCCCCCTAGTGGAATGTAGACTTACTGCGCTGAAGGGCCATGTTGGTGCAGTCTCCTCAGTGCCTAACAGTACCTTGGCAGTCAGCAATGTTGGAGCAGATGCTGGCGTGATGGATGAATGCCTTTTAGATAGCAAGGACTGTGGAGTATATATAAATGGATTAGTAAGTATATGGAGTATATATAAATGGATTAGTAAGCCCTCCAACTCTAAAAGTTTCCCACAACCTGTGCTATTGGTATTACTGACGCTGTGCTAGGGCGGAAAGTTCCCAGATTTGTACACTAGCTTTCTTTGCTATTCCGTGAATAAGACAAAGATCCATGCACGTTTTTATAAGTTCCCTAAGAATTTTCTTTCAAAGGGCATTGCTTTCTCTTGGTCCGCTCCTCTGTTAGGTGGTCTGTGAGGAGGAAGACTTGAGAATCTTTAAGGAATTCTGTTAGTTTATCAGATCTGAAAAACAGCTGATTCTCATTATATGGAACATTCCTGTGAGCCTGATTTCCTCAGCAAAACCTCTGCCTCTGTTCTCCCTGAGGATGGCAGAAAGGGGAGGCAGCCTCCTCCCACCCCCCACGTCTCCCTAGTGTTAGCTGTACACTCGCTCTGAGATAGGAAATGTCCACAGGAAACAGTGAATCAGTGCTCTTGTCTCTGTAGCCATGCTAGCACTGAAGCCCACAGGGTGTTTAGAACATAATTCCATCCCTTAAGGAGCTTATTACATTGCCAGAAAAACAAGTTATGTACTATCAGAATAGATGCACTGAAATCAGTGCATACCCGCTCATGAGACACAACTATTACATTGTTAGGAGTTTTGTAAGCCGTTGTTTAACTGTTGACAGTTTGAAATTTGCTGTGGTAGGAGTATTTGCACCACAGAAATTGGCCAACAGTACAAATCAGGGCTTGAGGGAACTGACAAATAGGTAACAACATATAACTGGGTACACTTATTCCTGGTAACCACTAATTGGTCATATAGTCAAAGTATTTTCCTTTTATTCTTCCTTCTCTGCCCTCTGTATATAACCCGTGAGTGAAATCTTTCTCTGGTTTATTTCACATAATGAATAGTTGCTTTAACACTAATTTTAAATCAAAAGGTATGGAAGAATTTAGTTGAATCTAGAGATAGTGAGGTGGTTAAGATAAACCACCATACAGTCCACCAGTTATATTTATGAGTTATTCAAGTACCTACATAGAACTTGTCAGATAAATGACAAAAAAAATGTACATTAAATATATACTACAAATTAGCATAGCGTTTTATATTAAATTTATGAATGCAGTTTAAAGTGCTTTTGGAAATTTGTAAATAGGACCAAACATTAATCAAGGGCTTGAAATGGATCCTAAATTTTGCTACAAAGTAATAGATTAGCATATTTAGAGTGTAAAAGTAATTAAAATTTTTAAATTGAACTTATAAACAAGGTTAGTGTCTTAAATTTTTTTTTAAAGATTTTTTTGTGCATACAGAACTGGGGTACAGGCCAGAGACTCGGGCGCGAGAGGCTTCACCAGGGACAGAGTGGGGAGCAGAACAGGCGGATCAGTGAAGTACACTGCTGAGGGGAGCGGTGGGCAGGTCAGGAGAGGTCTGCCACGCCATGTGGTCACCTCCCTGGCAGGCGGGGATCGAACTCATGAGGAAGTGGCTGTGTTTTAATCCGCTGCGCCACCAGGGAGGGCCCTAGTATCTTAAATATTTTCAGAACCAAAGCAGCTATAAATTGTGTTCTCTGTATACAAAAGTTGTCCTCATGAACAAAAAAGAAAACCGATGGAAAGCACAGTAACAGTCCACTCTGATAGAATAGCTTTGTCTTAGAGGAATCTGGGGAAAATGCATCCTCAACTTGAAAGTGACTGAGCATTCTACAGTGGGAACTGTTGGCGGGGAGGAGAAAGGACTTGGAGCAGCTCTCCTGGCTCCAGGAATATCACCCAGCAGCTGGCTGCAGCCTCACCAAGTGGCCTGCACCACGAGCTCCTAGCCCCCACCTGCCCACTGAGGCGGCCCAGGGAATACACTAGTCCCATCTTGGGGAGGGGTGCTGGCAAGGAGCAACTCTCTCTCCTCCCCAAGCAGACCTTACACCTATACTTGTCTACGCATCTGGGAGCCTGGAGGGGCCATACCTACCATTAAATTCTTAGCAATTTTGTAATTTTGCCAGTGTTAAACTGTTGACAGTTTGAAACTTGAGGTCCCACAAAGCATAAGAGGTGGAAGAGGCCTCCGGTGATGTTGGTACGTAGGTGGACTCGACTCGCCCAATCCTGGGAGCAGAGGTGCCAAGCTTGCAGTGGTAGCATGCCCACCAGGGGGAGCCCTGCAGTCGCCCTGAGGAAAGCATGCCTGCAGGGAGGAGGTACAGATCCTCCTGTAACCTCGGGAAGTGAACAGTAAAGGTGGTGATCCTCTAAGAAAAGACCCCCTTGTCTCTTCTGAAACCATATAAGCCCAGGGTTCCTCAGTAGAAAGTGGGGGTGAGTAAGGATTCCAATAAGGACTTAGAGGCCACGTGGGTGGGAAGACGGAGACAGTGAGAGCAGGGCGTGGGCTCTGCTGAAACTGCATTGACGGTGAGACAAGCTCAGGGGAAGGAAGGACTGAGGGGCAGCAGGAGAGGGAAGTGGGCTGCAGAAAGAGCCAAGTCCTCGCGGGGGCAGAAGGGAGCAGCCCCAACCCACAGGCAGAAACCAGGAGCCAAGGAAATCCTTACACTGTTCTAAAATAAAACTGCAATGTGTGTGTTTCTACAGGAAGGAATAGAGGTTAAAAAAGGTCAGAGAAACCAATGAGCAGTTTAATCAGCTCAGCAGAACACTGGCTAAGAGAGATGCAGGTGATTAAGTGGTGGACATTAGAAAAACTGGTTTGGAAATAAACCATGGCTGTAGCTCCCAACTCTCACTACCACGGCTGGACCCCAACTCAGTTTCTTGAGGCACTACAAGTTGGACCTGGATTATTAAGCTCCAGTCTGCTCTGAAGGCTAAAAAATGTGTTCTTAAAACCAGAAGTTCCTTGTTTGAAGACTAGGCCACCTCCTTCCCCCTGGGAAATCCACAGAGGTGGAAGGAGGCGGCTGGGAACGCAGCTGTCAGAGGCTCTTGGGAGTTCCACATACTGAGAAAGGGGTTCATTTCAGTCCGTTGTCCATCCGATCTAGCACGAATGTCTCCCCTTCAATAAGTAAAACTTGCTAAATAACATTCAGCTTCTACACTATGAAATAGGACAGGAAGTCACTTGGGAAGCAGATGTGTCCACAGCCATCAACTAAGTATGAACATCTGCTGCCACGTTTAGAGTTTTCTAAATAGTTGCTCATTGATTATTTCCTAACACTCACTAGAGTAACAGCTGCAGACAATGTCTAAGAAAAAAACTATGAAAGGGGAAAAGTATTGAGCATTTTCTCCACTTATTTTTAATACATTCTCACTAGTCCATCTAACTCTCACCCTCACTCTCTCCCACCAGTATTCTAAGGACCAGAGTTTGAGAGCTAATATCTCAGTAATATTTCTTCCAGCCCTGTGATTTTCTGTAACCTCGTGAGGGTGGTTGCTGGGCTTTATGTTATCTTGGTACCTCCATTGCCCTCATCCCTCCATGAAGCCCCAGGATGGCTTCAAATTCTTGTCTTTCTCCTCGTAATCCTGCAGGGGGCAGCAACCCTCTAAAAATAGCCCTATTCCCGGCAAGCTGTGCTTTAGCTGAAGATGTCACTCACTGTGCAAGTCAGGTCAAATAGAAAAAAGGTACTAAAGAAAACCAACATCTCTTCAACACTGCCTACACCCTTGTCATGCACTTTGTTTTCCTAATTATTAACTTGTTACCTGTCTTATTGATGAACAGTATGTCCTCTTTATTACATTTCTACTACTTAACAGTGTCTGGCTTGAATTTGCTGAATAAATATCTAGAGACTGAACTAAAAGAAAGATGTCTTCTAAAATTACTACAGTAAAATCAAAATAATGTTATCACTCTGCTCCTTGCCCTACATTAAGTGCTAATAGTTCAATATTAAAGAAATTTTATTTATCAAAAGAAATAACTAGCAAAAACCACCACAAGTAAAGCAACATGAACTTGAATTATGTCATGTGGAGCTCTGATGAACTCAGCATCTTTTTTGTTATTTTTGGTTTTGTTTCACAAATTTTCTAAGAAGATTTCTTTGCTGTCCTTTAGCCCAAGTTCACATCGTAGTCTTCTCTGTGAGTTAGGAATAATGTATGTGCTCTGTCCATTCACCGCTCATTTATTCATTCATCAAACACATAGTAGCAATTGCTGTGTGCTAAGTACAGTCAAGAATATAAAAAGTACACCAAGCCACCTTTAGTCTAGACCTTTCATCCCCCCCAATACTGGACAAAGGTATAACTTAGAATTGGATGAACCTTAAAATTAATCTCTAGATTTCCTTGCTCTCAATCACTATAAAGCACAAGACAACCCCTGTCTATTAAAAGAGACCCTGCTTATTTAATTCTGGGAGTTTTTAGCCTCTCAGCCCCAAAAGAACTTTGTCCTAAATACCACACCAGGATGAACAAGTTTTCAGGGTCAACATCTCAGGCTTGATAGGTAG